TTTCGATCCAGGTGATTGTGCGTGCAATGTCCTTTGTTTCTTTTTAGAGTAACCTCCGACGAAATTGAATGCATCAATCAGGCGTGTACGAATAATTCTGAGCGATTAGAATTGAGTATTCAACTGAATGAGAAAAGATGGCAATTAGAAAGAACATACTTCCAATGTCGTCCGAATCCGATAGTTTTCGACTGGTATCCGAAAACATCAATCTTAAGGTGGAACATCCGATCGTTGTTTTAGAATTGATTTTAAAAAATAATGTTTTTTTTTCAGTGGTGGATTCAAACTAATCGTCAATGGGCAAGATTTGAATGTCGTACAAATGCCTATCATGAAATTTGTTTACAATATATCAGATTATGAGTTTATTTCATTATGCGAATCGACTTCAAGTACACAAATGATCTGTCTATCACCTGCGATCGATAGAAATCTTGGTTTAAGTCCACCTATTGACCTTGACGTCACGTTCTTCATGGACAACATCAAAATCATTCCCGAAGATAATATTCTAACGATTGTTGACGATCCAATTTATTTCCCATTCAAAGATTACATTCAAGAAATCAATTCAACCAACATTATCAAATTCGAAGTAAATATTAGACAACCCATCATACTGAAATTCTTCTTGACTTTTTCTTAAGGGAGCAAATCTTGCCGTTACACATTCGTTAGATCTTATCGACGTGCAGATCGACAATATTCACAATGCTTGCTTACCAATGAACCTAACGGATACGTATCTCACGTGTACGTTATCGAAAGCAGCACTGAATAATCTCAAAGACTATGAAGCTAATATTGACGTAAGTACAAAACAATATGGAAGTTCTAAATGTAAGAAGAAAATGTGTTTAGATTCGTATTGGAACAAATCTAACATTTCTAATTGGTAAAATTATCATTCAAAATCGTACGGATTCACATTCTGGATTATCCATTCCGTACTTAACGAAACAAATCGGTTCCTGGACAATATTGATCTTAATTATTTTAACATCAATCACAATATTGAGTTTATTATTTCTATTTGTTATATTTATTCGTCGTCGTTATTTTCAGTTTTCGGAAAAATACCAGAAACAAACGAAACCACCGCAATATTACCAAGATGTCTGGTGTGAATTAGGTAAAAAATGGCAAATCAACTCGAAACATCTAACTGTAGCAGAAAAGATTGGTCAAGGTTGTTTTGGTGATGTTTATCGAGGAGAACTGAAACAGAATGATAACAAGCCACTCGAAGTTGCAATTAAAGTTCTTCGTGATCAGAACGTGGCGTCAATGCATGAATTTTTATTCGAAGCCAATCGAATGAAAGATTTTTCACATCCAAATGTTCTCTCTTTGATTGGTGTCGTATGGGATCCTGTGCGGAAAGCAATGGTACTGTTGCCTTATATGAAAAATGGTGATTTAAGAAGCTATATATCAAGTGAAAAGAATCGACCAACTGTACGACAGCTAATAACATGGGGAATACAAGTTGCTGATGGAATGGAATATTTATCATCGTTGAAATTTATCCATCGGGATTTAGCAACACGAAATTGTATGTTGGATGAGAACCTAATTTGTCGAATATCGGATTTCGGTCTTAGTCGAGATATTCTCGATCGAGATTATTATCTTGTACCACGAACAACAACAAAAGAAAGAAACGGACAAGTTATACAAATGCCACCGAGACGATTGCCAATCCGATGGCTTAGTCCTGAATCAATTGAATCGTCGAAATATACCATTCAATCCGATGTGGTAAGTTTAATGCGAAATAACGAGAGAAAGTCTTCCTATTAGTTTACTATTTAGTGGTCCTTTGGTGTCCTTCTATGGGAATTATTAAGTCGTGGTAAAACGCCATATCCTGGAATTGACAATGCTGATATCTTTACATATGTTAAAAACGGCTATCGTCTCCCTCAACCTACTTATTGTCCTCCACTGCTCTATAAATCAGCGATGTCAGTTTGTTGGAATGCAGATCCACTAAAACGTCCAACTTTCACTCAACTCGCTCACGACATTCGTCATATTCTTGAACAACTCGAACTCGAACAGCAACAACAGAAACAAATGGCACACAATCAACCATCCTCGTCTGCTGATGACGAAGATACAACTATCGTCGAACGTTATCCAGCCGATCGAAAACTCAAACGATTATCAACTACATCCTTGTCATCATCAGCGAGCACCACTGGACAATATATAACCACACCTCATCGTCAATCTGAAAATATCCAATTACTATTTGATCGTGGCGCTGATGATGATGATTCATATGCAGTTGCCGTTAATTCAAGTGCTGATGTTTTTAGTACAACGAGATTATTACCTCGATATACAGAGATAAGCATTACTGAAGATGCATGACATTCTCTTGAACTGTACATATATATCTTGCGTGTGTATTTGTGATATGAACTAATGGATGGTGTACTTTGTTTTTCTTACATTTCAAAATAAACATTTGTTTATTCGATCTATTCTAGATTATTCTAGTATTATTTTTCGAAGAAAAGTAGAGAAGTGAATCAGTCTTTTTAACAACCAATCTGTCGTTGTGATTCTAACAGTTTTTCTCGTTCATCGATCATTGTTACTGCCTATAGGATACATCGGAACACATCATTTTCTTGATACTAGTGTTTTGAAACTTACCCAACTGAAAAATGCTGCCAAGCCAATGGAGATTTCGCTGACACGTATTAGATCATAATTTCGTAGAATATCTTTTGCTTCATGAGCTTTCTCAACTGGAATGTGAAGTGGACTAAGTTCGTAACATCGTCGACGAACACTATCTTTTCCTAAGCGACCCAATAGGTTTTGAATTTGCGCCCAATCCTTTGAATGGAAAAGCAAAACATGTAGATTTCTCTTCGTCAACGAAATTCACCTGAATTTCTTTATCATAATGTCCGAGAAGTAGAAAAGTAGCACGCATGACCGTCGATACTTCATCCGGCGGTTTCGTATAGCTGTGCAACTCAGCGATTGTAGCTTGATTTAATCGTAGAACTCGAATTCTAAAGTAGTTTCATGTTTGAATCTGTAGGCATCCTCTGCAATGCACTGTATTACTTCATATGTTCAATTTTCATCAACCGATGAAGAAGTTCTAATGCTCGTTCACATTCGTATTTCAATTGATGAAGAAAATTATGATCTTTGACTTGTTGTATGGCTTTTTCTAATGCAGGAATTGTTCGTTCTTCAATAGCAGCTAACAAGTCTGCGAAGAAGAAAAGACGTACAATTCAATTCGATGTACAAATATGACTCGGTACCTCGACGGGCTTTGTCCAAATCAACAACACAAGATGATTCTTGAGGGAACGTAAATGTATTTTGATTTGATGGTAGGCTAAGCATGTTATCCGGAGTTGGCAGCGGTGATAGAATGCTGGGCGTTGGTGGCGTTGGAATTCGCGGATAGGATGGAATAATCGTTGATTCGATGATTGGTATGGCTTTTTCATCAGCTAAAACCGGTCTTGGGGATTCATGTCGACTGACAGACTTAATTTCACATATCTCATAAGATTTGTATGGATTGAAATGATGAGGATTTGGACCGATTTTTTCTTTGATTACATCTTCAACTGTAGGTGAGAAATAAAAATGAAAGGATTCGCATGACAATATTTGAATTGATCCTTACGTAAGAAATAAATCAGTGCCATTAAAACAAAGAGTGAGATAAGAATGAGAAAGACAGCTAAGATTTGTCCGAGACTATCTGCAAATAAATGAAATAATGACTGATTTCATGTAATGCGAATCGAATGTATTTCTCTATTACTTTTTGTTTGTGTAATGCAACAGAAAATAATGGCGACGAGAAAGCCTAATTCAACGATGATCATGATGATAACTGAGATCAAATGAAGTCGACGAAGGATTTTTTCTAGAGAAGATAAATTTTTTTCTCTGCCAAGATGATTCCAAGTATTTACCTTTTCGAGTCACATAGAGGAAAGCTCCTACAGATGTAATAACTAACAGGAAAGCCATGGAAGCTAGAAAGATTGTCAGTATTGACAAGCGTCGATGATAACTGGCTCCTGTGGATATCATATTGTTAATCATTCTTTCAAATAAAAGATAATTTTTCGTTTTCGTCGTTCTTCTATGCGATTGTTCAGAGTGAGCTGACCAACGGATAAGATTCTGTCGTTTGTCTTTCTTTTTCTCTATTCTTCAATGATTACGTCGACACATTAAAGCGAAAAAGAATAATCACAAGTTCTTTTTCCTTCTTAAAAGTGGAAGGATGAAATATGAAGAGAGCACCATTGTAGACTGTATGCAATTAGAACAGGAGAGAAAGAGAGACCTATCGGGTGTGTACATCAATTGATGTGTATGTACGAGTGAAAAACGAAGAGTGATGAAACATGTCGGTCGTCTTAGTAACGCATTGTTTGTGCATGTGTTCGGTTAGACACATCTTCAACAACATATTTTCATATTCAATAACATGTACTCATTGAATTCAAACATCTTCTGTCGATGTACAACAGTCTGAAGCTAACGATCAAGCAAACATCGTTCGGTTTTCATTGATCGTAACCGGGCGAAAGATTCTGCGTTGCATATGTCAACTACTTAATATATTCAATGATGATTATAGTCTTTAGAAAAAGAAAATTGACATTGACTTTTGATAAGAATTGCAGGAAATATGAGATTCAACGATTTCTTTCAAACATATATGATCATAAATTTGAAGATTTTTTCTCGTTTCCGTCATTGACATATAAGGAACTCTTTTAAAACAAAACTCTACCTCTAATACTATTCGTTCTCTTTCCTCCATTAATAACGCTATCTGAATCATAAAAGAAAGAAATATTATGTTCAGCTAATTCGCTGTTTTTGTTATTTTCTTTCTTCTATTTCGAGATAATAATCTCTAAGCAAATTCACAATGTAATCTTCATCGAAAATAAATTATTGAAAAACTTCCAAATTAATCTTCTCATTCAATGCAACGCATATGTTTTTGTAAGACAGTATCTTTATTTAACCATGTTCTACAACCAAGTCAAGCACTAGCGTTATTTTATCAATCATTGATCTTTTCATTGCAAAATCTCGCATTGATGAAATGGATCAGTTCGAACATCGGTATACCGATTGGTTTACAATTATTAATGATCGATTTGAACGGAAATGTAACGGTCGACAATGAATTACTCTATAAGCATTTGTCGAATAGTAAACGTAAGACTATCAGGTATTATTCAATTATTTAGGTGTTATTTTTTTGTGAATAGACCATCTTGAACAACGTACAAACACAACATCGGTGAATTGATGAACTAAAAAGTGTTTTTCATTCGATTAATAATGATGTTGTTTATTTAGATCTTGAAATGGACCAGCCGAATTATTCTTCGTCTAGCAACGGATTACTCTATATCGTCGAAGATCGAACGTTCATCTGAATTTGAAGACTTTTATGATTTCCTCAAACAATTTCATAGTATGTTTTCTTTTCGACCTGATATCTTTTGATAGAAGAATGTTTATCTCGGGTTAGCTTTATCAGCTGATGATCGCTCGACATTATCAGATGACGATGAAGGTATTATCAGTGATGATCTGGTCGAGGAAGATATCACTCGACGAGCAATTCATCGAGCCTTACTTGTAATCATCGACTTCTTCATTTTCACCCATCAAACACGTTTTTCTTTCGTCCATAGAAATGTATCGATTACACAACGATAAAATCATCGAATGCTTTACAAACAACTCACCATACCACTGAAATGCAAAACTTCGAAACCAATCCGATTGCTTTATATAATCAACAGATTATTCAGATACTTTGTAGTGATACACTCGAATTAGAAATCGAACTTGCACAACATTCGGTACATGAATTCAATGTCAACTTCGTTCTATTTTGGATATTTTTAGCAATATACAGCGTTGGAAATTGTACCCCAATCATCAACAAATGATAAAACATTGACTAGTTATTATTCTGTTTGGGTTAGATTTCAACAAAAAGAAAATATTGTTGTCATGTTTTGATGGATTAACTTGTTGTTTTTAGGCCGCACTTTGGAAAAATGTGACATCGGAATATTTACAATTCAATAACGAAAAATGTTTGCGAAAAGTGACGATCGATCTAGACAAAAATGTTTTCCAATCAAACCACATCAGAGACAATGATCGAATGTTAGATGAAATAACCAAACGCCAACAGAATTTAAAGAAGACAACTGTAAAAAAGAAAAGAATACAATTCACATCTGAGTAGATGAACCTAACGAAACGATCTTCTCTTCTAGATGCAGACAAATAAACCGATCGAAAATGAATATTGTCTACATGATCGTTTGATGTCTGAAATCAAGCAAGACAGAAAATTGAAGCCAATTGAAAAAATTGCAGCAAGTGATTGTAATCGTAAACGTATTCAACCGGTGAAGGTAAGGTGTTATCTTTTAAGAGCAATGTTTGTTTTTGAAGTTTTTCTTCTATTTACAGAATTCCAATGAAAGTGATTCAGGTTCCGATGATGAATATCGTGATGAATATGGAAGGAAACGAGTTATGGTCGTTGATTGCCTTCTTGAAACATCACCTGAAGATAATATAAAAAGTAAGAAAAACATTCTCTCTTGAAACTCGACCTCTCCTCCTTCTCTGATCAAGATGAATCACCAATCACAAATCTAAATAAATCTTATTCATCATCGAAGATTTCCATAAAGAGAAAAGCATCAACTGAAAAAATTAATTATTCAACAATAGAGAATTTTGAATTAGAATACATCTCAATGGAAAAACTCCTTCCGGTTTGTTTTTCATCTATTATCTATAGCTTTCATCGTTGTCTGTGCTTGTCAGCAATTGAATGGTATGTTATTACCTCTCAGGTTTTATCTCGTAGATTAGTATAATTATCAAGTTTTATCGAAGCAAGCACATGAGATCTTGACATCTATATACATTCAGAGATCCGTTGTAGAAAATAAGAAGAAAAGAAAGAGAAAAAAGAACGTCGATAATAAACGCTCCTAAGAATTTGTTTCCGAATTGTTACCGGCTATGTCAAAGAGAAGAAAAAAAAGATCCAGCCTACGCACCATAGTGATCCGGTACCGGAGAGAAGAAGAAAAGCTCGACGAAGAAAGAAAGCAAACATGAGTACGACAAGAAATGCTGGTTGATGAGAACTCATTTGTCTATATGGAATAGAAATAAACGAACAGTCTGTTATTATTTGATGTGCTAACACTCGACATAACGCAGACCATTAGTAATCAATTGATTGATTCATACACTCAAGCATGCAATTACAAGAACGTATTGTACAGGTATTGTGTGCCTTTCTTGTGGCTTAGATTTTCTTGCAAGTTTTCTTTTTTTTGAATCGATTAAATATTTATGTGTAAATCTTTTCTAGCTTTTAAAAGACAGTTCGGATTCGCTTTCGTTGACTTACGACGAATTTTGTCATATAAGAAATGTTATTACACGATCGGAGTTGGAAACATTATTGTTCGATGAGAAGTTATACAATGAAGTTGCTCAGGGCAAAGTAAGGCAATGTTCTCGGATGTATAGGAAAAAAATATTTCATTTCTACCTTGGTTTAGTTGTGTTTTACATGTCGAAAGGTTTATTTCAATCTGTTGACTTTCACATTCGGTATTCAATGCAGCGTATGTAAACAGAAGATTTGTCGCAATTGTGTCACACAAGTACGAGGAAATGAAATTGTATATTGAAATTTTCTTCTTGAATATCTTGATTTAATTAGATTACTTTACCAAAAGAACGATTGAATGATCTTCCCATTCAAGCAATCACTCCATTAACATTATCAAAATCTTTATCGAATTCCGAACGATGTCATTCACTTGATACGCAGTAAGTATTGACACAGACAAATGTCATCATGTGCATCCGTACGTGTGTATCATGAAAAATTAAAATGTTTTTCTTTCTTTGTTCGGACAAAGTGAAAGGCTTGTTTCTCTTATCCAGTCGAACGACAGTTACTGAATATATTAATGAACATCTAAACTTGCTTTAGATCGCCGCAAACGCCAACAATGAATGACGTTCTACATGATCTAAATCCAGATGATGCTGGTTCACGTCGGTGTTCGACTCCGGGCAATAGCATTGCTCAAGTCAACTCAAGCCCATGGCGTACAGATCCGATTGACATATGTACAGATTGTTTTTTTCTTCTTCAACAAATCCGAAAGAAGTCTCGTCAACGGCATATTTCGCCAGCTGTAGCATCGAGCTTAGCTTCGTCAACATCATCATCCTTTAATCGATCGCACCATTCATTTTCGAATTACAATCTCTCAGCATCGTCATCGACATCTTCCATCGCTGCTCTATTAGCTGCTCAGCATCAACAACGCTCATTAATGGTCAAAACAACTTCCATTCATGGAAATTTAAAACAAACGAGATCTTCCCAAGAGTTGAACACAACTAACAATCCATTACAAACATTACCAGTAAAAACAAATTCAACGGAAAGAGTCAGTCTCTCGCGACAAAATCTTTTTCTCAAATTGCAACCAGCTTATGATATCAAAACGGCTAATATCAAAACCGGATAACTCAGTTTTGTTGTTGTGATAATTGTTTTCTTCCTCCTTTTCACACTCACCCCTCACGTTGGTTTTCTGCTCTCCATCTACTCATCTCATGTGTTGTGTGTATGCGTTTAACCGGAACAAATATATACCTTTTCTTTTTCTTGTTTTTCTTCTACATTTCAATGATTTACCAACCCATCTCAACATGTGTCTTCGGTGAACCTATCTGACAAATTGTCAAATCTAGTTTTTCTTTGTACGCCATCATCATGTAAATAACATCAAATTGAATAAAGAGCTAGTATTGATTTGACTTATTTTCTAATTTCGTCAATTTCTCCTAGATTTGATCTTTGATTCTTCGTTCCACGCATTTATTTCACCAAATATCCTAATCCAAATCGTGCAAGGTATGTATTCTATTGCATCCAATTACTTCCTTTGCTCTAAACTGATTCAAACCCAAGTATCCGATTTCAATGAGTTCCACATCAAGTGTTAATAAGAAATGATTGCATTACTAGACTTGTTGTTCTAATCTTCTTTATATAAAACTCATTCCTTTGATTGCTTACTGTTCGACTCCACTTGAAAAAGAAAATTTTCAATTACTTTCTTCTATTTTTTTTTCATTAGAACCTCAGATGGTTTCGTTGTCTGTTTATCGACATAGTGTAACAATTCTATGTCTTGTTGGTATTAGTCTTTCATTATATGCATTCTACGTGGAAACACGTGCAACAGGTGATCGATCCTATCGAGCAGCATGTGATATAAGTGAACGTATGAGTTGTTCACGTGTGCTCACCTCACGATGGGGACGAGGATTTGGTTTATTGCCCGAAGATTCACCATTGAATATTCCCGATTCGTTAGTTGGTTTGATTTATTATTGTTTATCTATAATTCTTAATCGATCATATACATCAAAAACAATTGCTCGTCTACGTGTCATTTTTTCCCTGCTGACTATTTTCGGCTCAATGTATCTGGGCTATATCCTTTATTTTGTTTTACACGATGTTTGTGTTGTTTGTTGTGGCATGTATTTGGTCAATTTTCTCTTATTTGTTTGTAATTTGAAATTATTAACAATGACAAACATAAGCAAACAAAAACATAAGAAACAGTAGACATATACACGTATAAAATCATATATATATATGAAAAAAATGTCGACAAGAAAAGAGGAGAGAGAAAATATCTAACAATTTGTTTTTACTCGCGTTTGTGTTCGTACTCCTCGTCAAGAAGAAAAAAAAATCATCATCGTTTTATGTTCTTATTTTCTTTTTTTTTTTCTTTTTTCTTCTTCTTCTTCTTTCGTTCTCGTTTACTGTTTTCCATCCTGTCTGCTCTCATTGCGTCCACGAATATAGTCAAACCAGCTGCTAATCAGTCCCTCTTTCTTTCTTTTTTCTTCTACATTTTTTTTTTATTTGCTAGAAAATGAATACGAAACCAAGAAGTTATGCATATTCTATTCATTTCAGGTTATCATTCTAGATAAATCTCACTACTTTTATTATCACTATCATCGTCAATGACAATAATATTGAGAAAAAAGTAGCAACAAATTTTACCGGACCACATAACGAAACATACAAACACACCTCTTATCTGTATGTTTAACAACGCGATGCTCTAGTGTTGTGAGTATTGCTGGTAACAGCTGTGCAAAAGCAATAGAGTTAGGAATGAGAGAGAAAAAAAAATCAGAGAAGTAATATCTTTTGGTTTATTAGTCGCATCAAGCACTGGTCACAATGTGCACGAGATTTTTTTCTGTTTTTCTTTTTTTTCTGCATTCGATTTTATCAAGATTGAATTTAATGCATGATTGATCAGCAGATTATTACTGGTGAACTAATCAGGTACACAATCAAAGAAGAAATATCTTAGAACAAACAATGTATGTCTATGTTGAGAAAGATAAAGATTTCCGTTATTTTCGTCTCTCGAAACGACCAAAGTGCAACACTTTGGACTGGAGAGCAGTGCACTGTTTATTAGCTGTTGCTGCTACTCGTTTTGCTTTTATGCTATCGACGTACAAAGCTTCATATACATAAGGAAGGAAGAAGAGGCCTGTTGTTCTCATTCTCGCTTTCCTTCTCCCTATATTCTGTCCCGGTTTCTCTTCTTTTTCTTTTTTGTTCGATTCTTGTTGTAGATTTTTTGCTACTCTCCTTTCCGACGACTACATTGGTGTTAGTGACGGCCTGCAGTGCAATTGACAACATCGACGCGACACGGACCCTTACCTCTTCCTTAATGTTCTTGTGGTCGCACTAGTGGGTGATCCATTGCCAATTTCGTTGAAGTGCTCTCATCTTATACGGTAAGTATATATATTGATATTGAAGAAATTTTCATCATTATTGACCTAGCACATGTGTAGATAATAAATGGAAAAAGTTTCTCTTTTTTTTTTCTTCTCTCCTGCTACTTAGTGGTCTCTAATCGAATTAATCGATTCCTATGTATGCATTTGTGTGCGTGTGTGTGTGTGTGTATGAGGCTAGTCCACGACAAAGAACAGAAAAGGCAGATGTTGTCAGGAAAACGTATTAAATAATCGAGTAGAATTGCCCGAATTAGTTCTATTGTATTCTAATCGTATTGCCAAATTAAAATTTTGGCATGAGAAAGAAGTACGACTACTTGAAATGACATCTTCTTCGTTTGAAGTTTCTTTTCTTTGATTAATTAAAACCTTCGGTTACTTTAATCATTATTTACTGATTCCACGTATATATACATATATAAGCTCCATGAAAGAAAAGCGTGATGTCACATAGGATGGCAGCAGCTGTTTTGGGCCGAACGAGTATCATCAAGAGAGAAGAAGATAGCTTCTCTAGTCCTCTTGACGCATTGAATCTACTGATGAAATGAGAGGCATCTCTTGCTCTGTCCCATGTCTGAAGAGCTTTGATTGTCGACACATCGCCATTTAAAAAGAGAATACAGTAATGAGACAAAAAAAGCTAGATTCTCAATTAACCATGAGATAGGCTGTCAGTTAGATTCGATAAAGAAAATGAGAACCCTAGAAAAATGCTTTCTCTGCATATAAATATATATATATATATAACACTGCATAATAAGAAAAGAAAACTCATCACTCCGACATCTATTTCAGTACTTTTCATCTAGTAAATAGCCTATTTTAGATTGAAGAGAAAATAGAAAAAAGTGATAAATGTATCTAACACGATCAAAATCAAAGGAGAAACATTACATCGACATCTCAAGCGATACATTGCACCTTTAGCTATCAAACCAGACTCTTCTATAATTGTACGCTACACACCCCATTTCCTTTCGCTCGCACATAAATATATTGCATTGCGCGACCGGAAGTCGACGACTGTTCGTTCGTTGTGTCGACCGATCAGTCTGTTCATCACTCATTTTCTTTTTCATTCATCCTTCCTCCTCCTCCTCTATCCTTTGCCTCTTCATCAAACTCGCTGTGTTCGTTTTTCTTGTATATTGCTAATCTCGCATGCAATAGCGCCGGCAATGGTCGACGCTGACTGGTTAGGCTGATGGTGATGAGTACATCGTGTGACGACGCGCAAGAGAGCACTCTCCCCATTCGGTCGGTTTATTTCTTTTTATTCTGCATATTCTTTTCATCGGTCTATTCGCGTTTTGTGTGCGCTTGATTTAGCTTGAGAACATAGAGACAGAGAAAGAGAGACAGAGAGCGATGTGCCTTTGTCTATTATAGATTAAAAAGGGGGGAAACTAACAACGACCTCCGCACGCACAAACGTATATATACATGTATATACATATACACATACGTATTCACTAAGACATATCGAGTGGTATACAAGTAGTAGTTTTAATCAATCGAAAACGAGTTCAGACAAATTCACGGTGTCTTAACAAACGAAAAATGTCAACTGTTGTTGTCCATCAGGTAATTCATATGAGATAGATTTCTATTTGTAACCGAAAAGAAAGAAAATCTTGCCCACTTTTTTTGTTTGGTAATGATAACAACAACTGAAAGCAATTGATGCTTTGAAAGGAAAACTCTTCACATGAGTCATGACATTATGTCAAGAGAAACGTTTATTTTCATTTTGATGTAATTGAAATTAAATTTGATTTTTCTCATCTATTGATCTTTTTCAAAACACATCACTTTCCAATCGACATCGAATGACATCATTTCACAATGCATGTCGCTACCGCTGTTGTCCTGTTCTGTTACTATTCGCGATCTTTACATATATACATCGAGAAAAGTCGTGTGGTCATTTTTCGTCGTGTTGTTTTCCTCTTCTAACTGTTCGTTATTCGTCGTCCTTCACAAAACACTTTTCTACGTGCCGTTAGAGTGTTATGTTTATATTTATTTGTCACTTTTGTTCACATCGATGTATGCGTACTAAATGACATCATCGTCTAATCATCGACATCATCGTCAGCTAGATACAAGTCTTGAGCGTCAAGCTCGTCTAGCGGCTGCGAATGCTGTTGCAACTTATTTTTCTCCTTCTCCTTCTTCATCTACACGTCGACAACGTTCGGCATCATTAAATACTACTTTTGACCAGACTCATTGGGTACTTGTCATGCCGACGCTCGAGGTGATGTATCTTTTCTTTTACTTATTGTGTACATATAGACATATATAAATGAATACAGTTAACTCCGCCTTCTAACCGTTTTTGTGTTCATTGATGAACACAGCACGAATGACGAGATAATTAAATAGCGTATATAGGACGTGTTTTATTTTGTTCTTGTTAATTCACAGTTGGATTATTGCAAGTTTGAACTAATTTAATACATCCCGCCGACAGTAGTATCTAATGAATAATTCAATAATGACAATCCATGGATGACCTCATATAGTTGTACTTAGAATGCAGTGCAATGACATTGAGAAAGCTCAGTGATTGATTCAATTTATTTGAGAAATTCAATTGATATTTGTGCGTCGTTCATTTTTTTTTCTTCTTTCTCTTCATTTCGACTAATTATTTCTCTTGATTTTGTTTACATATTTAATCGTTTTCCAATGACCTGATGTGCCCTCCAGATGATCTTTTATCGAATATTATGCGAAAGATAGAGAACCGGGAAAAGAAGAAGAAGCAGCAATGTGATGAGTAGTATGTTCGTAGATAACAGTCAGTTGCTTGTGAGATGAACCGACTGATCATTAATCAAACTATGTAGATGTGTTTGTATATATATATATGTGTGTGTGCATGTATATATGGTCGATTTTTTTCTCTCTCCTTCTCTTTCTCTCTATGGTATTTATTATCTCTTTCTCTCGACCTCTTCTACTGTTCATCTAAACATTTCATTTGCATTGTTTAAGGCTAAAGCGAGAGAAAGCGTGTAAGTGTTTGCGGTCAAGAAAAAAATATTTTCATTGTTAATAGATCTAGTTTAATAAATTAAAAGAAAAAAGACAGATATGGTTATGATGACGGCCACAGCTGCTTCAATTTTAGGGGTGAGTCATTCGTAGTTTGATCCGTGTGCGTGAGGGAGAGTGTTTGTGTATGTTTTTTTTTTACGTCTAATGATCTTTTTATATGGTGTGGATATATATAGATATATGTGACAAAGAAAGGTAGAAAAAAAATAATGACGTGTAATGTGAAGAGAAAAAAAATCAAAAGAATGATGATTACTATTCGGCTTGTTGTCGAAAAGCGTTTCTGTGTGACCCTGACGTGCATAGATAGATTTTTTGTTCTGCGTTACAAACAAAAAAGAAGAAGAAGAAGAAGAAAAGAAGAAAACGAGTGTCATGGTCAAATGTGAAGAGGAGATAGAAACATGTGCAGTATGACTACCTCTATGATCGTCGTAATGTATACTGGAGAGTCTCTTTCTTTTTATGACGACAGGTGGATGATTCGTGACATTTATTTTTCATAATATACAAAAGTTTCGATCGAATATAATTGTATTTCATTCTGTTCTTTATATGTTTAGCAACCGGCATCTTATAACACATCGCAAACGCCTTCTTTACATCATTTAATCATTGATTCTCATTCAGCCGGTCACGTTCAACAACAACAACAGCAACAGCAACAACAAAGTCAACAGCCCCATTCTACAACAATAGCAAATATGGCATTAACAG